AAATATTTCTAATTTGTTTACTAATGATAGTTATTGTCACTGTCAGTTTTAGAATTTTTGGATTTTTTATGATCTTTCTTGAGTATTCTCTGCTGATAATCCCATTAGATTGAAATTGATATATACAAGAAAATTTCAGCAAACTGATGGTATTCAGTGTGTGGAAGATTCGAAAGAATCATTTTTGGTTCAAAGGAATCATTTCTGATTCAGAATCATTTCTCATTCAAATGAGTAGGTTCAGATTCCAGGAACTTGTTTCTAATTCAAGCAAATTATTTCTGATAATTGATGAGAAGAATGATTAAAAGATGAAAATCATTGGATAAGAAAAAGAATGAAATTTCTTGAAAATATTTCTCATTTGATTAATTGTCATGTTATTTTCTTCTTTTTTTCAGATGTGAAGAATTTTTTAATGAGTAAATAATGAAATAATGCTAAATGACTGGAAGAAGGTTTAGTATAGTTTGTAAGTGATAAGTGATTAAACTGATGAAGTTTTCGTGTTATGTTGTTAAGAAAGAATCAGGAAGACAAGCATTAGAAAGACTAATAACACGTTCTTTCACTTTAGCTTTTTAGCAGTTGTTCGGCATTGTTGATAAGAAGAGGACGACGATTTATGCCAAGGTTCACTTGGTAGACGTACATGTCTAAACCGGAAAAAATATTGGATGGAACGATAATGGTTAGCATTATTTTCGTTTAGCTAATTGTTGACACGTTATATTGTTCAATTACAATTTCTTACTTAATTATTTATTTATTTATCTAATTTATTTATTAAATTTGTTTATATTTATTTATTTATTTGTTTATTTATTCATTTATTTATCGTTTCGCTATGCTTAAATGCTTCGCATTAATGCTATCAAATGAATGATTCTTTGTTTCAGTAACTTTCTTCTTTTAAATTTTAAATTAATTAAAAATTGTAATTTTACAAAATGCATTGGGAATGTACCCAATGCATTTTGTTAAATCACAATTAAAATTGCGAAAATACATTACGTCATTATTGGAAAGATATTAATTATCAAAAGTTGAGGTAAAACCAGAAAATCATTTTATGAATAAAAGATGAGATACATAAGGATTAGTCGCTTTGATGAATATCTCAATAGAAGCATGTAAATGCCAATCCAGATGCATTCGTTCTACCGAATAATATGGTAGTCTTGATGAAATTAGTTTAATTTGTTATAGTATTATATGATTATATGACATATTCAAATTTGCCAAAATCCATTTGTTTTAATTCTTTTAATGAATTAATGGCACAAAAGAGTATATTTTTTAATTATATTGGAAATCAAAATGTTAAAATGCAATTTTAATTCGAATCTGAATATAAATTAAGTGTAATTTGTCACTATGTTTAATGTTGAAAAATAGTCCTTTTTTTTTCTTTCAATTCATTTTTAGGAACAATCATCGATGTGGGAGAAGGAAAGTACACATGAAGTACAGGCTGTAATGAACTGTTCATTTAGTGCAGTGAAGAAAAAGCAAATTAGTGGCCATCGGGGTGAAAAGGTCATTGTTGTTGTTGAATTGAATTGAAATGAATAATATTATTAATTAAAACAGCAAATTTCGATTAATATAGGCCATTTTTTTCCGGAAATTTAAAGCAAGCTAAAAAGATAATAATAGAAATGGGTTAATTGATAAAAGACAAAAATAATTCTAGAAAGTAAACAAATACTGATAACACTAAAAGACAAAATGTTGTTTAACAATTATTAAATGAATGAAGAAGTGATAAATGTTAATTTTGTAATGTTTAATGATTAGTATGAAACAATCTCATATGTTTCACATACGAAGTAAACTACGTGTAAGTTGAATGTGATAAGAAATCAGTGTGCAATCAACCATTCATTTTATTGATAAATTACTCGTGGAATATTGCGAGTAATAAGATATGAATTTTTTTGCAGGTAAGAATTCTAAATATCGATAAAAAAGGATATGCCAAAGTTGAGAAGGAAGATGGAAAGAAAGGTTATATTCCGAGTTATTTTCTTGATCTAAATACAATACCAGGTGATAATTTTGCCCAACAAATAAGGTTCGTCCAAAGATGCCATACTTTTGCGTTTGTTTAATTCTAGGAAATTTGAGATAATCATTATTAGCTTTCGCTATGTGCAACAAAGGAAGGCTTAATTATTTTACCTGCAATGGCTGATCATCGTTAATGAATTTAAACCAATAGCTCCATTAATGAATGTAAATATGAAGCTCTCTTCCAATTTAAATTCATTAACAATGATTATTACAATTAGGATAATTATGCTTTTCATAGATTAGATTATAAATGATTATTTCAAATTTTATTCAAACTGATTTGGGGAGATATGATTTAATCTTTTACACATCATTTCAAATGACTAAATTATTGGCCATTTGTTTCAATTACCACTCCTTTGAGAAGTTATTTAGTATGATTTAAATATCTACAATCCAAGTATAACATTGCATTGAAGTAAAGAAAAAAACAAAATGTGCATTGAATTTGATAATCTTTTATGTTTAATTTAATTTTTCTTTGATAATATCTTTAATTTGACAATTTTCAGATATCGTCGGAAATGGTATCATGTAGTGGATTCTGATCATTCAGTAATTTTCAAGGATAATCCATCTAATTTATTAAATAATATTTCATATCTAACTAATTTGATATCATTTCTACCTGTGGAAAAGCAATCATTTTCGTCAAATTTGCATAAAAGACCAATTTGTATCGAACCTTTACAAGATATGACAATTAAATTGGGTGAAAAGATAATTTTGATGTGTAAATTTTTATCAGAAGAATCATATACGATTACTTGGCGTGGTCCAATAATTACAGCTAAACGTCAATATAAAGTAACCGTAAGTATGAAGACCCTTCCATTTTAATTATTATTAATTAAAACGCTGCAATTAATCAATGTTGAATTATTATCAATCAAGAAAAACAGTAAGTATTGGATGTTTGATTGGAAAAATAAATAAATAACTTTCTTATGTTGCCATTTTCTGGACTTTTTCTCCACATAACTTCAAAGAGAGTTATTCTGAGTATCAATATTTCTTAGACTTATCGAGATTGATATTAAGATCTCTCGATCTTATTTTGAGTAATGCCTTCTTGTTATTCATTTGTCATGATTAAATCTTAATCATTGAATTTTTTTTTTGTCATTACAGACAAACGATGAGGGTTATTCAATATTAACATTGAAAAAATGTATAGAAGAAGATAGTGGGCAGTATTGGGTTCAAGCTGAAAATATCTTTGGTAAATGTCATACTGTCGCTTGGATTACGATAATTGTACCACCCGGTATTACTCACATCACAGCATGTAAAGCAATTAATCGAAATAGTGTTTTGCTGCAGTGGAAAAATCCACGAAAGGGTAATGCGAAAAACATCTACTATGTTGTGGAATACAAACGAATAGGTAAAATTTTAAACTCTGATTATGTTATGAGTTATTCTTAATTAATTACTTCCTAATTAAGTCCTTATTAATTTACTTATTTACTTTTAGTTTCTTCTTCATGCTATTTCTTTTCTTTTTT